TTTAGGAATATAAATTTAATAGGTTAAGCTAAATATTTTAAATAAGAAAATTTCMCTTATTTGACCTTTATCTTAACATGTAGTCTCAATGACTATTTTAAATATATTTTATTAATTTACACACAGGAAACATACATGTAAACAGGATACAATATAATCAAATTTCCTTTTTTACCAAGTTTTTCTGTGTTCAGGCTGATCTCAAGCTCCTAGGCTGGCCCATATTCCCATCACAGTCTCCTGACTAGGTGGGACTATAGGCACAGCAACCAGGTACAGCTAAATGCGACTTTTCAKAAAATTGAAGTATCTGTCACTTCAGATGTTTATCACTTTCCTGTGTAGGGAACATTCAGAATTTTCTACAGTAGCAATTTTGAAATAGTCAATGATTTGTTAGTAGCTTGCAATGGAGCATAAGAATTTCTTCCACCTATTCAATTGCAACCTTGTACTCATTAACCATCCTTTCTCCATCTCCTTCTCCCCCACATCATTCCCAGGCTCCAGTAACCAATATTCTCATCTTTATTTATTTAAGGTCAAGGATTGAGCTCCACATATAAGTAACAGATGCCCTAATAGTCTCTCTGTTCAAAAATTTTCATTGTCCTGCATTTCCCTCTATGTTACAACTGACAGAATTTCATTATTTGTTTATGACTGGAAAATATTCCACTCTGTGTGTATACTGTATTTTATTTATGCACTTATCTATCAATGAACACCTAGGTTGATTCTGGATCTTGAGTATTGTGAAAAGTGCTTCCCTAAACACAGGAGTGTAAATGTCTCTTTGGCATACTGAATTTAATTTCTTTAGATATATATTCAGTACTGGAGTAGCTAGACTTTTGAGGAATTTCTATGGTGTTTTCCATAATGGCTTTACTGAGTTATATTTCCATCATCACTATTAAGAGTCCATCTTTCCACACCAGCAGTTGTTATTCTTTGTATTTTTGGTGTGGTCTTCCTTCCTTCCTTCCTTCCTTCCTTCCTTCCTTCCTTCCTTCTTTCTTTTTCTTTCTTCTTTCTTTTTTTTTTCTTCTTTCTTTTTCTTTCTTTCTCATTCAAACCAGAGTGAGATGACATCTAAGTATGGTTTGGGTTTGATTTCCCTGAGTAAATGATGTACATTTTTTCATATACAAGCTAGAAATTTTTATATCCTTTACTGAGAAATATCTAGAAGGGCCGTTCACCATTTTTATTGGTGCATTATAATTATACATAATAATAKAATTCATTATGTCATATTCATACATGCACCTATGTAATTTGATMAATCTTATTAAGTACCTCTCCTTTCCCTCCCTTCCTTCCTTTCCTGACAGTATCAGTTCTAATACTGCCTTTTTCATTTGTGATTTTATTTATTTGGGTCTTGCTTCTTTTTTCTTGTTTAGTCCAGCTAAAGATTTGTCAATTTTGTTAATCTTTTCAAAAAGTCTCCTTTTCTTTCATCATTCATGTGTTAATTTTAGTCTCAAGTTCAATTATTTCTCTTCTCTCTGTTAATTCTTTCCTGCTACTAATTTTGGRTTTGGTTTGTCTTTGCTTTCTTGTTTATTCAGTTCCTTTGTATATAGCTTATTGAAATCYTTTTCTGTTTTGACATACACATTTAATGCTATAAACTTGCATCTTAGTATTGATTTTGATGTCCTAGATGTTTAAGTATGGTATGTTTTATTTTTTCTTTCTGATTTTGTTTGGTTTGTTTGTTTTTTTTTATTTTAATTTTATAACAGTATTTCATCCCTCCCTCTCTTTTTTTTTTCCAGCAGCAAGGGGTATTGGGAATTAAAATCAGGGGCACTCGAACACTGAACCACACCCCAACAATATTTTGTATATTATTTAGAGACATGGTCTCACTGAGTTGCKTAGTGCCTTGCTTTTGCTGAGGCTGGCTTTTCCTGCCTCAGCCTCCAGAGCTGAGATTATAGGTGTGAACCATTATGCCACACTCATTTTCTCATTTAATTCTCTCTTTTGTCTTTCAACACAATGTTATTTATTTCCCATGCATTTTTACTATTTCTGAAACCTCTCTTGCTATTAATTTCATTTACTTTAGAGAAGATGCCTGCTATGATTTTAACCTTTTTGAATTTTTGAGAATTTTTTTCATTCTAACATGTCCTATTCTGGAGAATACTCTATTTGCTGAGGACAAAAATGTATATTCTGTTGTTGTTGTTGCATAAAATATTTTATAATGTCTCTTTGACCATATATGTCCAGTTAAGTCAATTTGGTCTACGTTATCATTTTATTCCAATGTTTCTTTGCTGACTTTGTTTGTCCTTGTCTTCTTTCCATTCATGAAAATAGATTTTTGATATCCCAGATTATTATTTTATTAATGTCTTTCTGTCTTTTAGATTTAATAATGTTTGATTTATGCAGTTGGGAACTCCRTAGTGTGGTTAATGGATATTTACAATTATTATTATTTTCCTTTGTTGAATTGACCTCAATATCATTATATAGTGACCATTTGGTCTCTTGTTATAGTTCTTGACTTAAGGTTTATTTAAACTGAAATATTTATAGCTACTCTGGCAAGTTTTTTGTTTACAATGTACTGGTGAAACACTTTCTRTCCTTTCACATTTAATCTTTGGTTGTCTTTATAACCAAAGAGAGTTTCTTTTAAACAGCATATCATTGCTATTGTTTCTGGGTTGTTTTTTTTTTTGAGTGTGTATTTGTGTGTGTTTGTGTTTGTGTGTATGTGTGTGTGTGTTTGTTCTTATTTTCTTATCCATTTAGTCTCTATAATATGTGTTATTTGGGAATTTGGTCTGTTTATGCTTAAGGTAATTACAGATAAATAAAGACATACTTTGTCATTCCTTTGATTAGTTTTCTTAATAGTTTGATATACTCTTTGCTGTCTTGCTCCTCTCTTGTTTAGCTTAGTCAGTTMATCTATTTCATTTTTTTTCCAGAACTGATTGCTAGAGAGATACTGTGTTCCTTTAAAGTCATCACATCACCTTGCCTTTTCATGCTTCTTGCATCCTTATTTGGTATTTCTCTATCTAGTGGCTCATTTTCCTCTACCAATTTTTAGAGTGTCTTTTGTAATAAAGAACATTTTGTTGCTAACATATCCTAGGAGGTTGGTTGGATATATTGTGTTGGCTTTGGTCCAGATGGATGCATTAATGTAGTATCTATCTAATTTTGTTTTATATCTATAATTCATGTTGGTGATATCTCTTTGCATCTCAACACTTAGACTGCAGAAAATTTGGAATTACAGTGCTAGGTGAGATGCAGCTCATACAGAGTAGAGAAAGGTTCACTGGCAACTCTGTGCACAGTATACACAGTAGAGAATGTGAGATGCCCATAAGTTTTAATTGGTTAATAAAGGTATGGTGCAATGTCTAAGGCTTGTGCAAAGACCATGYACTACCAGAGGACCCAGTATGGGCATCCACCAATGTATGAGATCTTAATTGTTGACTTCACAGGACCCCAGAATACAACTCAGCAAGTATTCAAAAAATTGCTTCTTGTGATACAAGGTGGATGGTCATGGGTAAAGGTGTTCTCATGGCCTCAGTAAGAATAGCTTCTGAGAATGGGATGCCCAGCTGCTTCTTGGGACCAGAACAGGATGAGGGATATTTGATACTAGTTGGGGACATCAATATGGGCCAAGAAAGTCAGAAAACTTGCCTGACTACTTCCCAGGATCATGGATATGTAGACCAAACCAATGGAGTAGGATACCTATGGTTGATAGTGGGTGGCAAGACTGCCTGGTTACTTCATGAGGAATCAGGGTAGTGCATTCTGTTTGCTTCCAGAGATGTGGAAATATGGGCAGGGCCACTCCATTCTTTTCTGGGTATTTCTCTGGACTAAGCTGCTCAAAGTGGTAGACCCTAATTTGAGGGAAGTTAGGCAGGATWGCTTGTCTCTTTAGTAAATCTAAATTAGTTTCTGGGGGTACCAACATGAGTGGTGACAGCCAGGGGCCTCCTGCTTCCTCTYTCCTTTCTCACTAAAGTCTTTCTTCATTCAAGGTTTTCTCAAGAGACAAGAGGTGGAGGTTATACATGTGCTCTTCTCTTTATGAGCTGACATATATCTCTATGATTTGTAAAAATGCTACCATATTTCCATTGCACTTGATAATCTGCTTCAAAACTTTATTAAAATGGGAGGGGATTGTTTGATCTTTTGTTGTGGAGTGAAGGCACAAGGAACATGGAGCATCAAATCAGTCAGTCTGTCACCTTATTGGTGTTCCATTTATTTGATGTGTTATATGAACAKGATATCCCCCAAATTCTCCATCTTAACATATAAAAATAGCAAAAAAATGACACCATAAAAAGTTACAAAAGGAAGGATAAGGAATGTTCTATACAAAGAATATTAAAGATATGAAAATTTCAAGAGTCCAAAATTTGCTATAGATTAACAAGGGAAGTGGCATGATTCTATTGAAGTTGGAAGTAGGAAATTCCTCCTAACTGTAATATTCAAATATTGGCAAAGTATTAGCTTAGAGGCAATATGGTAACAGATTGAAATCTCATTTAAAGTGGTTGACTCTAATCAGTGGTCTGGAACGTATTGTCTAATCACTAAATTGTCAATAAGGAGTTAATATGTAAGTGCTTTATCGTTTTATCTTCTTTTAAACATTTTTTCTTATTTTTTAAAAAAGTGAAATCAAAACTAAGAGTTTGAAAAYACATCATGCAATTGATATATACTTTCTTAGKACTTATAGTTATCTAATCTTTTCRTGACATTGTGAGACATTTGCAGTAACTTCTSTCAAATCTAATTTTCTCTTTCTTTTGTGAATATGCAGCGGAAATTTCAGAAATATCCATATGGATCAGACCCAGGATTCTTACCATACCAAGGATTTAACCCATATCCAAATCCAAATCCATATCCATATCCATATCCTAACCCTGTGGAATATCCTTAACTTGTTGCTTGGTAACCACAGTACTTGATTAAAGAGGTAAGYTGAGTCTAGTGACTTCATCATCATCATCATCATCWTCTTCTTCTTCTTTTTTAACTTTCTGGAAATATAAATTCTGAGTGTTAAAAAAGAAAACAAAATAAAGTCATCAAATCAAATCCAATAAGGGATTTGATAGGTCATCAAATCAGTTTAAGAACTGTATGTAACTGATGTAGCTCTTGTGAAATATACTTATCTATCTAAATAGTTTTTGGGAAAAAATAATTGCTTCTCTCTCTTCTCTATTTAAGAAGCTGGGCTCTAAGTAAGGAGATACCTGTGTTTGTATCCTGGTCATTCCTAATCCTCTYTAAACCCAATTCTTTTGTTCCTCTTTTTTTTTTTTTTCTCCTGGTACTGGGAATTGAATCTATGACTGCAAGCATGCCAGGCAAGCACTGTATAACTGAGCCACACCCATAGCCCTCTAAATCTCAATTTCAGCATATAAAAATAATATTTAACCACTATATAGAATTGGTGAGACTATTATATTATATACCACCCAAAGCCTTCAATCAGATTGTGTTGTATATAACTACATGCTGCCCTGCCACAACTACAGACTACCCTACCAGTAGAGCTATCCTGAGTGCTGTTTCAAACTTTCCCTCCTAAAATGTACTCTTTAGAGCAGCTGCACAAGCACCAGTAGGAACTTGTTAGAATTAAAGAAAGCAGCCACATCAAAACCTATAAGGTGAGAATCTGAATTTTAGCATAWCACTATATGATTCATTACCAATAAGTTCAAGGAGTCTTGCATTAAGGAATTCTAATGAGCAATTACCAATAAAAGACTATCAACAAGATGTAGAAATGTTATCAATTTATTTTTAGAATGCCAGTTTTAACTATTGAAACACAACACTCCCAATGCTACGAAAAGTATTTCATTATGAAATTCAAGAATATTTTTCAGATAAAAGTGGAATGTCACAGAATTCAAACTTTTATTGAAATTATATAGAGACATTTTCCTTTATTGAAGAGAGAGAGAGAGAGAGAGAGAGAGAGAGAGAGAGAGAGAGAGAGAGAGAGAAACTTAAAGGTCATAACAAATGCATTTAATTCTTTAGCCAAAACAGGTAGGTTGCTTCTTGGTTTTGACCAGTGAGCAGAATGAGTTGGAATGCTCAGAAAATTGATGATGTATTTCCATAGGTCATTGGAATACTACTTTAATCATTTTAAGTGATTTTGGAGATTTTATTCCAGTTGAGTTCCCCATAGCCCCATAGCTATTAATAGRGTGAAAGAGTCTGAACATGATCATCTAGGCATTATTTAAAGCTTGAAAATATTAATTCAATAAAAGGTACAATAGAATATTATTTTAGGTAAATAAATACAAATAAAATGTCTAGGGTATTTAGAGGGTGGAATACAATAGATTAGTGATAGACATAAAAGAAATTTAAATTGTAGAAGATGATGATAATTTACATTGTTTCAGGTACTTAAAATTATTTAACTATATCATCTGTGTGAGCTATTCTTTTGATCACTGGTTTATATTAACTGAAATTATTTATAATGCTACTCTGTGCAAGGCCAAATATAAATTATAATAACATTAAAATTATAATCTACTCCTTTATTTTTTTGTACAGGTTTGATAAGAAAATCCAGTTGCTGTATGCATTTTCCATCCTTCATCTCACTTCATACTTCTATCAAGTTTTCATAGAGTGATTAAAAACACAATGTGGATTTCATAAAGACAATAATCATATATTTTCTGCATTTCTGATACCTGCCTTTCTGGTACCTAATTAATGTTTGATTAGACAATCTCAATTTCAAATTGTCAAGCTGATTTCACTAATGATTCTGAGTAACACAAATCCATTTTCTTTCTCAAAGCAATAAATTTCAAGTGTATCCTTATGTGTGCATTCTTTATTTCACTATAAATATTTAGAGTCTAAATTGATATAACCATTTCTTTCATCATTTCGTTTTTCTGCTTTGAGTAACACTGAAACARCTTTATACAATATATCCTTCATGTSAATTAAGTCCAATTTAGCCTTAATGTTTCATAACATCCAGAAACATGATCCCCAAATGTAACTGGATTACTTGACCAATTTATGTCAACATCTGATTTGTTCCTTTTTTTCAAGTTTTCCATAGTGCATTTCCTAAACATCACACTTTCTAGGTCAGTAGGGACTGACCTACAGGTAAGAAGGTAACACCCAACCAATGGCATCTGAAAACACAAACCCTCTTCATCAACAAAGTTAGCAAAGTGTTTGAGAATACTAGCTGTCAGGTACCATTGAGGATGTCATAGGGAATACACAGAAGACACAAAAGCCTGCCTCCCTGGTATTTACATTGTACCTGAGGGAAGTAGACAAGAAGTAAGCCAATAATACACAGGGTCTCAGGCTAAGTTATGTGTGTTTCACAAGTAAAAGGAAGTTCAAGGACACTCGATTCAGTTTTACATAAGATGGTAAATGACAGCCTCTCTGGCATGCTAACATTTTAGAAAGGATATGAATTGAGAACATGAGTGAAGATGAAGAAAGAAAATTTCAAGTGAAGCAAGAGCAAGTGCAAATTGGTAGAAAAATGTTTGCTGAATTTAGGGAAACTTCAAAGAGACCTGCATAGATGAGAGAAAAGTGACTAAAAATAAATTAAATCACAAAAAAGGGATTCACAGATCATCAAAGACTTGTGGGTGAAGTTTACATTTGGATTGAGATAAATATCCTTTGAGAAAGACAGCATTTGATTTATATTTTTGAAGGAAGGAAAGGGTTTAAAAAAAGATCCTTTGTCCTTACACAAACCTCTAGGCCCCTATTATTTTCATACCCTTTTACAGTACTTATTCTTAATTTATTTAATCTTATTTTTACACAGGAATTCATTTCTTCATTTAATATATACTAAACAATAATTGCAGCAAATCTGGTGAACATGAGGATTTAATTAMCTCTACAGGCCCAAGTGTCAGTGTTAGAAATCTTTATATATTCTTATAGTAATCCTCACAAGAAAAAAACATATTTATAGGCAAATGTTCATTTCATTTTCCTTTAAAAAGAATGCAAATTTTTTATACAATCTTTTCTTATATTTAGTCCTGTACCTCTTACCCTTTCCCTGCAATGACCTGTGGTAATTCATCATTAATTTTCTAAAGCATCAAACTCATTCTGCTCATTAGTCAAAACCAGAAAGCAAGCTACCTATTTTGGCTAAAGTATTGGATGCATTTGTTATGACTACTTTAAGTCAGTCTCTCTCTCTCTCTCTCTCTCTCTCTCTCTCTCTCTCTCTCTCTCTCATAAAGGAAACTATCTCTATATAATTTCTAACTCTTTAAATAAGAGATATTTTTTCTCATTGCTCTTTGCTTTTCATTTCTTCATCATTCTTAGAGAATTTTTTTATAAAGACATTTTTTCCAATGAAGACTATAAGGGTAAAACATTAAAAACCTGATATAAAAATTGATAATAATACCTAATGTTTATAGCTGAGCAATTTCCACACGCAATGTAATTCATATACATTTTCATTTAATCTAGTGTAGACTTTATGGTCACACCTTCCATAATAGAAAACTGTGATTTGTGGCATTAAAGAAGTTAAAAGATCCATGCAACATCTGTTCATGAACATAAAACTTTGCTTATTGAAACTTTATTCCCTTTGTGTCCAGAATATACAATTTCCATGAAATTATCTTTTTGTCCAATATTATTTTTCTTCTCACAAATTTTCATAGACTTCTCTATTTTCTATTACATACTTCATTGCAGTTATATGGGGGACATGTTCTTAGCCTACTGCTTTTCTGATTCTATACATCATTTCTCATTGTCTTCTCTATTTGCACAGATTTCTTTGTGGCAGATTTAAACCAATAAGAATGGTGAACACAATCAAATTTATTATATGCATTTATGAAAATGTCACAGAAAAACCCATTTTGTATAGTTAATATATGCTAGTACTTGTAATAAAAATTAAAAAAAATTAAGAGAAGAAATCCTGCTTCTCATGATGAAGCTCCAATGCCAAGAAAATTCTATAGCTCTTATAACCAGTCACAGTTTCCATATTTGTAACTGCCTGGGTACACCATTAAGATACCAATTTAATGACACACCTATGATATAGCAGTAGGTTTTGGTGATATTTATCTTGCATAAGAAATTATGTGATATTTTCAAAGAACATGGTAATTAGTGATTGAGAAYAAGATATCTGTTTTATCAAATTCTAAGATGTCAAGTAATTTCTTGACCACCAATCTTCTAAAATGAACTTTTGTTCCTGTATGAGACTGTAACTCCCCCAAAAAAGATTCCTTACCTGTATTTATAGTCCACTACTCCTCTTTCCTGCTATTATGCACAAACCTGCAGTTCCTAACAGGTGATGCAGGAAACATTAAAGAAATAGTGTCCACATTTTGGTGTTTCAACCAAAATACAGATGAGCTAAGTTTTATTATSATGTTTAAATGTGAATATAAACATCCTCACCATTTTTCTTATCTGATAGGATGTGGTGTGGTRGTGTCTTTGGAGCATGAGTTTGCTTGTTGTTCACTGTGCCATGAATATTACAGAACTATCACAACAGTGCCTCATCATGTTCATTAAATAAATTAGTGAAGAAATAAATGAGTGAAGAAAGTGAAGGAGGGTGAGAAAGAAGACCATATAATTTGACACTTTTAAATAACTAATGCAATTTTCATTTTTATATCAGACATATATCAATAGTTAGTGAAACCTATGTACATTTTTTCACATTGTGAATATACTAGAGATTGACTTTKTGTATGAGAAGAGACTATGTACCTATAAAGCTTTGAAGACACATGGAATTACCCCAAGAATCATTAAATCAATTTAATTAATATTACATATGTGCCTTCCTAAAACATTTATTATATTGTATATTACCAAAAGAATAACCATMATTTTACTACAACATGACATAGAAGATTCACATAATATTATGTTCTTAAAAATTTGATGCAAAATCAAACCACTGGTTTTTGTTTGACATGGGATCAAA